CCCTTCATGCTAAAAACTCTCAATAAATTCTGTATTGATGGAACATATCTCAAAATAATAAGAGCTATTTATGACAAACCCACAGCCAATATCATACTGAATGGGCAAAAACTGGAAGCATTCCCTTTGAAAACTGGCACAAGACAGGGATGCTCTCTTTCACCACTCCTATTCAACATAGTATTGGAAGTTCTGGCCAGGGCAATCAGGCAGGAGAAAGAAATAAAGGGTATTCAATTAGGAAAAGAGGAAGTCAAATTGTCCCTGTTTGCAGATGATATGATTGTATATTCAGAAAGCCCCATCATCTCAGCCTAAAATCTCCTTAAGCTGATAAGCAACTTCAGCAAAGTCTCGGGATACAAGATCAATGTGCAAAAACCACAAGTATTCTTATATACCAATAACAGACAAACAGGGAGCCAAATCATGAGTGAACTCTCATTCATAATTGCTTCAAAGAGAATAAAATACCTAGGAATCCAACTTACAAGGGATGTGAAGGACCTCTTCATGGAGAACTACAAACCACCGGTCAATGAAATAAAAGAGGAAACAAATGGAAGAACATTCCACACTCACAGATAGGAAGAATCAATATTGTGAAAATGATCATACTGCCCAAGGTAATTTATAGATTCAATGCCATCCCCATCAAGCTGCAAATGACTTTCTACACAGAATTGGAAAAAACTACTTTAAAGTTCATATGGAACCAAAAAAGAGCCCACATTGCCAAGACAATCCTAAGGCAAAAGAACAAAGCTTTAGGCATCACGCTACCTGACTTCAAACTGCACTACAAGGCTACAGTAACCAAAACAGCATGATACTGGTACCAAAACAGAGATATAGACCAATGGAACAGAACAGAGCCCTCAGAAATAATACCGCACATCTACCACCATCTGATCTTTGACAAACCTGACAAAAACAAGAAATGGGGAAAGGATTCCCTATTTAATAAATGGTGCTGGGAAAACTGGCTAGCCAGAAGTAGAAAGTTGAAACTGGATCCCTTCCTTACACCGTATATAAAAATTAATTCAAGATGGATTAAACTTAAATGTTAGGCCTAAAACTATAAAAACCCTAGAAGAAAACCTAGGCAATACCATTCAAAACACAGGCATGGGCAAGGACTTCATGTCTAAAACACCAAAAGCAATGGCAACAGAAGCCAAAATTGACAAATGGGATCTAATTAAAGAGCTTCTGCACAGAAACTACTATCAGAGTGAACAGGCAGCCTACAGAATGGGAGAAAATTTTCGCAATCTACTCATCTGACAAAGGGCTAATATCAAGAACCTACAAAGAACTCAAACAAATTTACAAGAAAAAAACAACCCCATCAAAAAGTAGGCGAAGGATATGAACAGACATTTCTCAAAAGAAGACATTTATGCAGCCAACAGACACATGAAAAAATGCTCACCATCACTCGCCATCAGAGAAATGCAAATCAAAACCACAATGAGATAGCATCTCACACCAGTTAGAATGGCGATCATTAAAAAGTCAGGAAACAACAGGTGCTGGAGAGGATGTGGAGAAATAGGAACACTTTTACACTGTTGGTAGGACTGTAAACTAGTTCAACCAATGTGGAAGACAGTGTGGCGATTCCTCAAGGATCTAGAACTAGATGTACCATATGACCCAGCCATCCCATTACTGGGGATATACCCAAAGATTATAAATCATGCTGCTATGAAGACACACGCACATGTATGTTTATTGCAGCACTATTCACAATAGCAAAGACTTGGAACCAACCCTAATGTCCATCAATGATAGACTGGATTAAGAAAATGTGGCATATATACACCATGGAATACTATGCAGTCATAAAATAGGATGAGTTCACATCCTTTGTAGGGACGTGGATGTAGCTGGAAACCATCATTCTCAGCAAACTATTGCAACAACAGACAACCAAACAGTGCATGTTCTCACTCATAGGTGGGAATTGGACAATTAGAACACTTGGACACAGAAAGGGGAACATCACACACTGGGGCCTGTCTGGGGTGGGAGGAGGGGGGAGGGATATCATTAGGAGATACACCTAATGTAAGTGACGAGTTAATGGGTGCAGCACACCAACATGGCACATGTATACCTATGTAACAAACCTGCACGTTGTGCACACGTACCCTAGAACTTAAAGTATAATAATAAAATAATAATATATAAAACATATGTCCCAAAAGCCTACAGTATGATACCTGTACGTAAAATTTAATAAGCATTTCTATTTATCAGGAAGACAAAGATGTCTATCACTGATATGCAACATAGTATGTCTTAGTGGACGTAACAAAAGGAAAAAAGAAAGGGAAAGAGGAAAGGGGTAAGGGAGTGAGAAAGCAAAGAGGAATACAATTCAAGGAAAACACAAAAGAAGTAGAAAAGAATATTCCAAGTTATTATTTTAAGGAACTGTTCCTATAGATAAACCATAAGCAAGTTAAACAGTTACTGGATCAAAGAACAAAATACATTACTCAACACTGTTCCTACTTACCAAAAATAATTCATAAGAAAATACAGATTTAAAAAGATGTAATTTGCAACAGCAAATAAAAGCCTACATGGTGTCTAGAAATAAATCTAACAAAGATGTACAAGACTTTTTGGAAAAATTAGTAAATATCATGAAAGAAGATAAAAATAGATCTAAACAGAGAGAGACAGCATGTTTTAGATGTGACGATTGTATAATAAATATGATCCCAATCACGCTTTAAAAAAAAAAGATTTAAGTACAACATAGCAAGAAGCACAACAGAAATTTACCTCCTTCAGACAGGTTCCTATGGTTTGTTGGGCCCCTAAAACTAGAAAAGAATAAACTTTAAGGACTACGCATGATCTTACAATCTGTGATACACAAAAGAGAGAGCTGGCTTGCTCACTATCGAACATATAGGTAATGAAAAAATACAAAAATAGAAACCTCAGTACAATGCTGCCTCTTCCATTTGCATTTTACTTTATTTGTTGGGCTATCCATTCCAAAGATTTTGACACAAAAACTCTTCAGTTAAAGCAAAATACCTGTATAAAAGCGCAGATTTAGACTAACTTCATGGACCCAGAGTAAAGTGTGAATGTTTTCCTTGGAGGTAAAAAATGTGAGGGAATCAGTGGTACTACCAGAGGGAGAGGTTATTTTCAAAGTACCTTGATGAAATGTTTTCCACCTTTGCAAGCAGAGCACCTGCTGAGATCAGGTGGGCATATTAGAGGATTACTGCAGAGAAGAAATGCATTATCTTTTGGAAAGCTGTGCTCAAATCTGTTCAATATCATTATTTTTTCTCCTCATTTCCCTTTGTTGGAGAAACATTCCTGGTGCCCTTTTCTACCATGTTAAAATAAAGCTTTTTATTTTATCCTTTGAGGAAGTAAGCTCAAGTGCAAATGCTCCTTCAGGTCACTTGTCTAAGCCTACTCTATTTAAACAGCTGTATTGCAAATGATAGAAGCACTAAGACTCTTGCCTTGTTAGCAGTAAGCCTTATGATGAGCAAGTCCCCAAATGCCATTACACTTCATACTTACTACTGCACACCAGCAAAAGAAAATCCCTGGGAAGGTATCTTGTTGCAGTGGTTTAAAATGTTTCCCTATTTGTGTTCAACAACTCTAATCACTTAGATAAATGCCTGAGCTCCCAGCACTTTTCCTGCTATAAATGTTTTATTCTAGAATATTCTATTACTGGTAATGCCACCCCCAACACACACATGCACAATACCCACTGAAATATTTTGAGGACTAAAGTTCTAAAAGCCCTTTCCCTGAGTCATACTCTTAAACCTTATATTTTCATGGGGAGTGGGTTCTAAATTTAAACCTGCTTCTCTGTTTGGATTCTGAGATATCATGTACATTTATTAGCCCATCTGCTTCCAAGAATGGCATCCGAGGAGCCTCAGAGCATTAAGTCTATGCCCTGAGTCATTCACAGAAGGGGAGCAGAGATGTCAGAGCTGGAAAAATTGTAGATCATAGCGAGTGTGTTGATATTTCTTGAAAATTAGTGTATATTAGCCAACCACTGTTGGGTTTTTAAAATCTGCTCCGCCTGTTCACAAATCTGGAAAGTCAAGAGATGAAGAGCTAGAACATGGAAGGCAAAGAGTCAAAGGAAGAAGGCTTTGCAAATTCAACTGTGAGAGTCTACAGTTGTGGGTGGAAGTACACCCACGGTGGTGGTGGAAATGGGGAAATTCTCAAGAAGCTTTTAACATTTAAACACTTTGCTAAATTCAAGAGCTTATTAAATATAAAATCATTCTGGCCAAGTTGTGCAAAGGATGCCATTAACACAAACTCTCAATAGGGATACTGAGATCAACACTTAAACATTTTACATTAAAGATCATTTTTCTTTTTTCTGAGACACAGTCTTGCTCTGTCACCCAGGCTGTAGTGCAGTGGCATGATCTCAGCTCACTGCAACCTCCGCCTTCTAGGTTCAAGCAATTCTCATGCCTCAGCTTCCTGAGTAGCTGGGATGACAGGCACACACCACCATGCCCGGCTAATTTTTGTATTTTTAGTATAGACAGGGTTTCACCATTTTGGCGAGGCTGGTCTAGAACTCCTGACCTCAGGTGATGATGATTCTTCTCCTTTTCCTTCTCCTTCTCCTTCCTCTTCCTCTTCCTCTTCTTTTCTCCTTCTCCTTCTTCTTCTCCTCTTTTTCTTCTTCTTCTCCTCCTCCTCCTCTTCCTCTTCCTCTTCTTCTCTTCTTTCTTCTTCTTTGGAGAAATGGAATATGCTTTTGAAAACAAAACTTTAGGGCTTAGAAACCATCATTTTGGCTTTCAGTATAGTGAGCAACAGGGGGGCAAATAATGGTGAATTTCTTTATGAACTTTCTTTCAACTGGGCTCCCCTATGAGAATTTATAAAACACTAACCATGTGGCTACTGAGTAAAGAGTAAAGACAATAAATATATTAAAAAATATCTATGAGTCTGGGCCCATTGAAAAGTAAAAATTTTAATCAGAAAAGATATTTGGGCTTTATGTAAAATATAGATACAAATGTGTACCCAGGGGCACACACAGAACATCTAATTGTCATGTGAAAAAAAACTTTATTTTCCTCTAAGCAGATTCTGAAACTTTGTTGAAATAAACATAGATTTAAATCTATTTCTTGCTGCCTTGTCTTCTGGTCACCATGACCATACACTATGTGAGTCTGTTGAAACACATTGCAGATTTTGTTTTGTTTTGTTTTGTTTTGTTTTCTATCTCCCAGCAGTAAGTCCATCTTAAGTGCCCAGGGATGGAATATGGTTAAAGTAGTAGCTTGGTTTAGTTACTCAGAACTGACTGTTCTTACATGTTTTAATCACTTTTCCAGTGTAAAATGGCCACGGCAAATCCTTTATCTAATTTCCAGGCAATTAGATGGTGTTTGCCTTTAATATCTTTGGGCTCCCCTATCCTCCCTTTATGAAACCTTCATATATCAACCCAGCTGCCAGTGGCGGTTTCTTCTGATGTCTAAAAGCCTCTCATGACACTTATTTACTACATGTACAATTTATGTCCCCAGTTCTTTCTTAAACACATTGTTATTTTCCCAAAGGCAATGTCCTTCTCTCCCCCACCCCCTCTCTCTCTTTCCTATATATATATATATGTGTGTATATATGGTAGAATTGGAAAATCTATTGGGTGCTAAAGATTACTAGCACATATTAGATTCTCATTAAAAAAAAAAAAAAAAAAAAACTTAAAATTACAAATGAACAGGCCAAGGCATTAAATTCTCAGTAATTGGTTCCTCCACTTCCACTTTCATTTTGGTATTACTATTTTTTGACTCAGCGAATGTTTTAAAGTTGGGCCAAAAGGCATTATTAAAAGTCACCTTACTGGCAAATATTCTAAAGTAATTATAAGTGATTGTACATTCAAAAAAAAAAAAAAAAAAAAACCCATGTTGGAGAAGAAAAAAAGATCTTCCTTGCCTACAGGAACAAAGCCAGGATTACAGGAATCTGGTGTGTTTGCCTTGTATAAAAGCCATTGGCTATGAGGAAATTGGATTTTCCACATGAGGCAGGGTAGGGAACTGTATTTTTTCCTTAAGGTGAGTGTTAGTTGCCAGGACTTTCTCGTAACATGAGACAAAACCAGGAGCAAAAAAGAGCCAAGGAGAGAAAAAAGCCTTCATCTAGACAAGCTTGGCTAAGAGTATTGTTCTTGCTTTTTGGAATAGTTATAGAGAAAATTGATGACTATAGCCTTGTCTTTGTTTATGTTTTCTGAAGTCGGAAAATCATATCACTACGTATTGATAATGGAGGGCCTGGACTCACAAGGTACATACAGCTCAGGCCTGAGCTCAGGATCTACGTATTGGATTTGGGCAGCATCGAGCCAGCAGCAAGATGAAAACACCAGGACTGCAAAGAACAAGGATCAAGGTTAAGAGTGGTGAACTTTGAGACCAATTGTGTTCAGATGTACTTGAAGTCTCCTCCATCTATTTTGAAGCATCTGACCCATGGCTACCAGGACATAGTCTTCCTTCCTTCCTGCCTGCCTTCCTGCCTTTCTGCCTTCCTCCCTCCCTCTCTTCCTTTTCTCCTCCCCCGTTCTCTTCTTTCCTTTCTTTCATCTTTCCTTTCTTCATTGCTTTCCTCTTTCCTTTCTTTCTTCCTTCTTAGTTTCTTCCCATACATATTGTCATGCATTCTGCTACTCCTAGGACCTTGAAGAAAAATAATCCAGGTACTCTGTCCTAAGGGTTTCTTATGCTAGCTAGATCCATGTGTTTCAGATTTTAACATCTATAGGCATGATCTGGGGATCTCATTAAAGTGAAGAGTCAACAGCCCTGGGCTGAATCTGAGAATCTGCATTTCTAACAATCTCCCAGTCTGCAGGTCCATAGACCACACTCTTAGATACAAACCTCTTGTTGGATTATTTGAACCTGTATTGGTGGTGTCTGAAAATTACAGGACACTGACTACATCCTCAACTAGAGTTTTGCACTTGATTCCCAGATAACCTAAATTAAAAAAAAAAAAAAATGGCAGATTACCACCCCTTTTGCCAAGAAAATATCACAAACACTGGCTACCAAGGCAAGTGGATGGGTGTCGTCATCCTGATAAGCAGAGAAGACATCATCTGTAGAAGTAGTAAAAGGATGACGAAGCCATAGAAAAAAGTTAGGGATTTTTAAATAAACAGGAATACTTTGAACTGGATACAGACATTAGTAAAGTTTCAATCATAGCCATCATTTTACCAGATGTCTTGACCATTCTCTTTATGCACAACATTTTTTAAAAGTGTAGAAGATCATAGGACAATAACATGTGGTGATAAACTTGTTTGATTACACTTCCCAGGTGCTGCTGGGTCCAATTACCCTGGTGCTAAAATATCCTCTAATTGGGTGTGAAACACACATCAGAGTTAATTACACTGTACACCACTATATAGGCTTGAAATAATTAAGAATGTTTTCGCCGGGCGCGGTGGCTCAAGCCTATAATCCCAGCACTTTGGGAGGCCGAGACGGGCGGATCACGAGGTCAGGAGATCGAGACCATCCTGGCTGACATGGTGAAACCCCATCTCTACTTTAAAAATACAAAAAACTAGCCGGGCGAGGTGGCGGGCGCCTATAGTCCCAGCTACTCGGGAGGCTGAGGCAGGAGAATGGCGTGAACCCGGGAGGCGGAGCTTGCAGTGAGCTGAGATCCGGCCACTGCACTCCAGCCTGGGCGGCAGAGCGAGACTCTGTCTCAAAAAAAAAAAAAAAAAAAAAAAAAAAAAAAAAAAGAATGTTTTCATTTCTCAACTGGCCTAGAAAAAAAAGTACATGAAATTCAAGTTTCAATCCTTAGAGATTTCTTTAAAACTCATGAGATCATCTAAATATGAACTTATGTAAATTTCTAACCCTAGAAACTTTTTGAGACCATAAGCCTCTTATCATAACCTAGATACTTTGTACAAATGTATAGTTAACTGTGTTTCACAAGGAGAATGTGCCCTTTGAAACTTGTGAAACAAAATTATTATGAGAAGGTCTTTTATGTGAAAAAAAAAATTAGTCACTTAAAAGTGCTGGTCATTTAAAAGTACTCTTTTGGGGCACTCACCTTCATAATAAATATTGGATTATCAAGGCCAATTGCATTACAGAATATTGGTTATATGATGCACGAACAGTATTGCGAGAGTTGGGAGATTACAGCTATAATGACATCAAATCTAGAAAGAAATTCATGGAAATAGATTAGAGTGGAAATTATCTATTACAAGAAGATCCAAGCAACCCATTTGACACAATTTGGATATCTGCCCCCTCCAAATCTCTTGTTGAAATGTGATCCTACATGTTGGAGGTGGGGCCTAGGGGGAGGTATTTCAATCAGAGGAGTGGATCATTCATGAAGTGCTTGGTGCCATCCCCATGGTAACAAGTGAGATTTGCTCTGTTAGTTCATGTTGACAGCTGGTTGTGTGAAACAGCCTGGCATCTCTCCCACTTCCACTTTCACCATGTGACATGTCTGCCCTCCCTTTGCCTTTTGCCATCAGTAAAAGCTGCCTGATATTCCCATACATATTGTCACACATTCTACTGCCACTAGGACTGTGAAGAAAAATAATCCAGGTACTCTGTCCTGGCACCTCTTGTTGGATAGTCTCAGATATTCCTTTATAACAATGCACTACAGACTAATACAGAAAATTGATATCAAGGAGTCGGGCAATTCTATAAAGATACCTGAAAATGTGAAAATGGCTTTGGAACTGGGTAATGGGCAGAGGTTAGAAGACTTTGGAGGGTTCAGAGAAAGACAAGAAGATGAGGGAATGTTTGGAACTTCTTAGAGACTGGTTTAATGGTTGTGATCAAGATGCTGACAGAAATATGGACAGTGGTGGCCAGGCTGATGAGATCTCAAATGGCAATGAGGAACTTATTGGGAAATGGAACAAAGGTTACCCTTGTTATGCCCCATCAAAGAACTTGGCTGCTATCCATGACCTAAGACTTTGTGGAAGGCTGAATTTAAGGATGATGACTTAGGGTATCTGGGGAAAAAAAAATTCTAAGCAGCAAAGCATTCAAGAGGTGATGTGGCTGCTTCTAACAATCTATAGTCAGATACGGGAGCAAAGGAAAGACTTACAATTGGAACTCATAATAAAATGGAAGCAGACTGTAAAAATGTTGAAGCCTGGAAATGTGACACAGAAGAAAAGAACATTTTCAGAAGAGGAATCCAAGAGGCCTGCGGAGCAACCACTTTGCTAGAGAGATTAGCATGACTCAATGAGAGCCAGGTGCTAAAATTCAAGACTACAAGCAAAAGGTCACAAAGGCATTTCAGAAATCTTAGAGACAGTGCCTCCCACTACAGGCTCTAAAGCCTAGGAGGAAGGAATGGTTCCAGGGACCTTGGAAACAGTCCTGGCCCAGGATCCCACTTCCCTGCTTAGCCTCAGATGCTGCTTGCCACATCTGGGCCTCTCTGGCTCTGGCCAGGTACCAAAAGGGCCCAAGTACATCTCAGGTCGCTGCTCCAGAAGGTGCAAGCTTTGAGACTTGCTGGTTTCCATGTGGAGGATAAATACTGAAAAGTCTGGGTACCCGGGCAGAAGCCTGCCACAGGACTGGAGCACCCACAGAGAGCCTCTACTAGGGCAATGTCAAAAGGGACTGTGGGGTTTGAGCCCCCCCACACAGTCTCCGTTGGAGAACTGCCTAGTGGAGCTGTGGAAATCAAGTCACTGCCCTACATACATGAGGATAGTAGAGCACCCTCAGCTTTGAAAGGGTTGCAGGCATCTGACTCTTAACTCTTGACGGTATTAGCTACAGGGGATGCTCCCAGAAAAGCCATGGGAGTGGAGCTGTCCAAGGCTTCAGGGATCCACCCCTTGCACCAGTGTGCTTTGTATGCAAGAAGCAGAGTCAAGGATTGTTTTGGAGATTTAAACGTTAACATCTGCTCTGCTGGGTTTCAGACTTGCCCCGGGGCAGGGCGGGGCAGGGCGGGGCAGGGTGGGGCGGGGGGGGGGCCTGTTGCCCCTTTCTTTTGACTGATTTCTCCCCTTTAGAATGGAAATGTTTACCCAACGACTGTACCACCGTTGTATCTTGGGAGTAAATAACTTGCTTTTGATCTTACAGGCTCATAGGTGACGGGAAATTGCCTTGAGTCTCAGATGAGACTGAAGACCTTTGAGCTGACACAGAATGAGTTGAGACTTTTGGAGGCCTACTGGGAAAGTACGATTGGATTTTGTAATGTGAGCAAGACATGCGATTTGGGAGCATCTAGGGGCAGAATGATATGCTTTGAATATTTGTTCTTTGCAAATGTCATGAAATGTGACCCCCAATGTTGGAGGTGAGACCTAACGAAACGTGTTTGGGTCATGGGGACAGATCCCTCATGAAGGGTTGGGTGCCATCCCCATGGGAATGCTTAAGTTCAAATTCCATTAGTTCACGTGAGAGCTGGTTGTTTAAAAGAGTCTGGCATCCGTCTTGATTCCTCTCTCACCATGTGACACATCTTCTCCCTCTTTGCCTTCTGCCATGAGTAAAAGCTTCCTGAGGCCTAGCCAGATGCTGGTGCCATGCCTGTACAGCCTCCAGAAGTGAGAGGAAACTTTTTTCTTTATAAATTACTCTGTCTCAAGTATTTCTTTATATCAACACAACATGGGCTAATACACTATGCTTAGAGTAAAATCAACAGACATGCTCCTTGATCTCACTTACGTGTGGCATCTAAGAAGGTTAAATTCATAGAAGAGTAGAAAAATGGTTACTAGAGGCTGGGGCAGGGGGAGGGAGTGAATGAGGAGTTGCTGGTCAAAGGATACAAAGTTTCACTTATATACAAGGAATACATTTTGAGATCTGTTTCACAGCAGGGTGACTGTAGTCAGTAAAATGTTTTGTAAATTTTAAAATAACTGAGAGTAAATTCCAAATGTCTTATCACAGAAAAATAAGTAAATGAGATAAAAATATATTAATTGGCTTGATTTAATCATTCTATATTGTGTACATATACCAAAGCATCACACTGTACCCCATAAATGAATATAATTATGGTTTGTCAATTTAAAAAAGCATAATTTTAAAATAAAAAATAAAAACAAGAAAAACATGCTCTTTACTATACTTGTGCTATTTAACCTAATATATAAACATATATAGAATATATAAATATAGAAATTATAAAAAAACTAAAATTCACTTTGGTTGATAATCTTCTGAAAAGGCACATAGATGCAGAAAGATGAAAATGAGTTAGTTTGGCAGCAATTTGTTTTCCAATGCCTCTTGATCTATTGTCCTGGAAGCTTGTGTGTTGACAGTTCCCTTGCTGCATTATCTCCTGGCATCTGTGGACTGACCCATGCTATCTGCCAGGTTTTTCCTAATGTGACTGGCCCTCTGGTTACTAGCTGACTCACCATGTTATCATGGGTTTTTTCTTCCATTACGCTCTGCCTCCCTAGACTTCATCTACCATCTGATGCTGTCCTCCTCTCCTACTATACCAATAGTTCATGCTCCTTTGAGCCAACACTTTCTGGTAGTATTCGTCCCAAGCATGGCAATGCTTAGCAAATATTAAATCTTAATAACTCATCTCAAACTATGGTACACTCTACAGGAGTTATAAAGAGCACAAGATATTTTAGATTCTTCTGCCTGCTAAATTATTTCAGAGGTCAGGATTTTTTGATAAGAATTTATTTAACTTATCTTGTCTACCCAGAATAATTTGATTAATCCCAAATCTCTGAGTGACACATTTTTTACCAACCAGCATTGGAATCTGATTTTCAGCAGTTTTTCTATATCGTTTCAATGAACTAGTTCAATAACCTGAACCAAAAAAAAAAAAAAAAAAAAAATCTTAAAGTAACCAGTGCTCATGAGTCTTTAAACTTTAATTTGTCTTTGCACATCACCGTCATGCAAGGAAACAGTAAGTATTTTCAAGAGGCATACTATGTTTGATAAATAGATTCTTTACTCAATGCTGTAACAACATAAACCATTAGCAAAAAGTAATGTATTTGTACTTTGCCCAGTTTGTAGGTAAATATTAAAGTATTGGAACATTTGCTGACTTTTTCCTTGTTCTTCTTGCAAATCTCATCAACTCCCACCGCTTATTTGTATTTAACTTGGCTTCTTTAAGAAGATAAGTAGAGGGAAACGGGGGAGTTTGCTATGATGCCCTCATCCATCTTAAAAGCCAGACAACTAAGTTCTTACAAAGAAAGAGTAAATGACACTGTCTACATTGACTTTAACCTTATGAAAATTACAAAAATTTAAATATAGTCTTGTAATCACAATTAAAGTCACTTTTCTATGGCAACATTTATTCATTTTCATTTTACTTTATGCTGTAATCAGAATTCTTGAAATTTGTAACATCAGGCTCATATAACATTTTGTAAACAGAGAAAAGTCTGTCTAAGTATTAAATAACTTTTTATCTTTAATGCTCCTAGAACATATATTCTTTAATTCATTCAACAAGCACTTGAGCATCTTCTACATGCAAGGTCACATGGCACAGGTCTTGAGTCTCCTTAGCATTTTATCACTAATACCTGGCATGTAGAAAATTTAATTTGAATAACCACAATAATCCCATTCATATTTTATGACAAACCATGCAATAATAGTTTAATACTAGATTTATTTATAAATTTTGACTTAGTTTTTAGATTTACATTTAGATCTACCAGATTTAACTTTAGATTTAGATTTATCAGATTTAGATTTAAATGCCATGTATAGTCTGGAGATCAGGATTCCTTAATGAAGTGGAATTCGAATAAGAACTGAAAAGGAGAACTCTTTAATCAAGTTAAGGGGAAGACTTGCTGTTCAGACAAAAAAAAAAAGTGTTGTGCCCAAGATCCTAGGGGAGGAAGAACTATATCACAGTGAGGATCACTGAGGAGGACAGAGCGACCGGAGCAAAGAAGGTGAGGGAGGTTGTCCTCTCAATGTGTTGATCCTGCTGTATTAGTCTAGTCTCATGTTGCTATGAAGAAATACTCAAGACTGGATAATTTGTAAAGGAAAGAGGTTTAACTGACTCACAGGTACACATGGCTTGGGGGGGCCTCAGGAAACTTACAGTCACAGCAGAAGGTACCTCTTCACAGGGTGGCAGGAGAGAGAAGTGAGTGCAAGCAGAGGAATTGCCAGATGCTTATAAAACCATCAGATCTTGTGAGGGTCACTCACTCTCAAGAGAAGAGCATGGGGTAAACTGCCCCCATGATTCAGTTCCCTCTACCTGCTTCCTCCCATGACACTTGGGGATTATGGAGATTATAATTCAAGAGGAGATTTGGGTGAGGACACAGCCAAACCATATCCCCAGTATTGCCCAATTCTCTGTTCCATCTACCCCATTTCTATCCCAAAGCTCAAAAAGCAGCTGATTCTGAAAAGACAGATACCGGATCTCCTGTTGGTTTAAGGCTTACCCCGTATGACTGACAGGTTGGCCTGGCTGGTTCAGATTCAGACATGAAAACTGACATTGCTCCATGCAGATGCCCTGTCCTAGCATAGACTGACTTCCTTAGTGTCTGCGGGGTCCTTATGTCACCCACAGTGGAGTTGACAGCACAGTATTTCATAATGAGGCCTGTTCTGGAAAGATAACTCTAAATGAGAATCTGAGGGCCAAAACAGATCTGCATTATTCCAAATTCTGTGCTAAAGCAGATTGCATTGTAGCTGGCCTTTGATGTGTTCTCAGAGTCTAATAATAACTTAAAAATGAAGACAAGCATCTGTCTAGAAAAACTTCTAAAGGGTTGTATTTAAAATGCTTTGCAATGGCAAATTAACAGAGTTGTAATTGACGTTTTCTTCTTCCTTCCTGTAGGAATGAATTGTACGATTCGGGAATGCATTTTTTAATATTTTGACAGAAACCTACATGTTTTAATCTTTTTAAGTATGTAATTATAGGACATGGGCCTGCTAGAATTGCGCTCCACATGGGTGATGGAATAACATGCCCTTTACAAAATGAATTATAATAGATTTTGGATAAAAGCGATAAACACTAGATCACATTTTATTAACACGGAGAATGTCACAGTTTTGTAAAAGTAAATTTGCTACATAAAAATAGTAATGAATAGTTGAATTAATGACTAGATACCATCAAGAGTGTACTCAACATCCTAAAATTTTAATTTTAGGGTATGAACCCCAATGCAGATTATGAGTTTTGGGTGATTATGACGTGTCAATGTAGGTTCCTCAGTTGTAATAAATGTATCACTCTGGTG